AGTTATATAGTTCTTAGTCTAGTAATGGAGAGAGTTCTGATTTTCTGATTTATCAGTTCAATAGATTAGTCAATAAAATGATAATTAAACTTTTTTGGGGGGAGGGGTTGGTTTTTCGAGATAGGGTTTCTCTGTGTAGTTTTGCACCTTTACTGGAACTCACTCTGTAGCCCAGGCTGGCCTCGAACTCACAGAGATCCGCCTGCCTCTGCCTCCCAAGTGCTGGGATTAAAGGCGTGTACCATCACCGCCCTAAACTGCTTCCAAAAAAAAAGGGGGGCACTGTGAAATTGTGTTTAAAAAAGCAGATTCCAGGAGCTGAAGAGGTGGATCAGGATTAAGAGCAGGCACTAACTACTCTTGCAGAGGACCAGGTTTGATTCCCAGCACCCACAAGGTGGCTCCAGTGATTAGGGTTCCATGGCCCTCTTCTGGCCTCCACTGGCACTCACTGTACATACACGTAAAAAGAAACCTCAAAAAATAAACTAAAAACAAACAAAGCAGATTCCAAATTATGTTAGGAATTAAGTAACATGATAGTATGTTGAAGATGGAGTGGTTTACTGTTACAATGATGAGCTGAAGCATTATTTATGAAATCCCTCAAATACCTCCAGATTGTTACTTCCCTCTTCTTGGTTTTTGTTTGTTGGCACTGTTGAGCATCAAACACAGGGCTTACACACGCTCAGCAAGTGTTTGAGCAATGACCTACAGCCCCAACCCTCTTAATTCTTTTTTTTTTCTTTTTCCGAGACAGGGTCCTTTATAACCCTTGGCTGGCCTGGAGATCCCAATATAGACCATGCTGGCCTATATGTTGAACTCATAGAGATCCTCCTTGCCTCTGCCTCCCAAGTGCTGGGATTAAAAGCACTTGTTACCATACCCAGCTAAAAGGGTTCTCTCTTGTTCTCTCTGTGTGTCTCTCTCTGTGTGTCTCTCTGTCTCTGTCTCTCTCTCCTCTCTCTCTCTCTCTCTCTCTCTCTCTCTCTCTCTCTCTCTCTCTCTCTCTCTCTCTCTCTGTCTCTCTCTGTCTCTCTTGTATATTCCTGGCTGTCCTGGAACTCACTATGTAGACCAGGCTGGCCTCAAACTCAAAGAGATCCATCTACCTCCCAAGTGTTGGGATTAAAGGTGCATACCACTTAGCCTGACACTCTCCCAATTGTTAAATAACTACCCTCATTTTTCTCATGTGAACTCACTCCTAAGACTTTCAATTGATTCCTTTGGCCTTACAGAGAGATACATTAAAGCCTTGGAACCAGGCAGCCCTAGGGCCTAAGTCTCCCTTGGTCCCCTTTTATATTAACATTTGTGGAATAAAACACAAAACTACAGTTTGTTGATAAAGAATGAATATTTATAAATCAATATTCAAAATAGTTGCACACATCTGTTTCACTTCAATAAAAAAAATCACATTGTGACAAAGTTTATAACCTTAACTTAAGATACATGAATATTAACATTTACTAGTATTATTTACACATTTTATTTACATTATCAACAAATTGGATGAAAAACAGCCTGTTATTACTTTAACACAGTAGGTCATGACTAGTCTTTGAAAATTAATCCACGAAATGTGTGCTGCATTTAATTACAAAACATACTTTGAACGTTTCTGAATTCCTAAAGAATTCTACTATTCACACAAAACATTCCAGAAAGGCCTCATTTAAAAACAAAACAAGAGCAGTTGTATTTAATCTTAAGAGATTACAAAACTGCATCGTTTAAAAATATGAAAATTTTTATGGTATATCTTTAAAGCATATTCTTTTACTCTTCACATCAAAATTACTTAATTGAACATTAAGCATCTAATAAAAAGTTTATATATATATATATATTCCATCATGCATGATACTATGCACTTCATGATTGGAAACTGTTATAAACTGGTTTGAACAGAACACCTTCATGAGGTAGGGTCAGGGTCAAAGAAGGACAGTAAGATGTGACTAGGTGTTAGTGGAAAGGATGAGGCTAAATTTCTTTTTGTAAGACAAACTTTCCTTTTAGCTTGCTACCTTCTTCAGTGAGAGGTCTGTTTTGAGTGGGGCGGCAAATGACTGAGGTATTTCTCAGAGAGCAAAGTAGTACCTTCTACATTGGCTACTTAATTTTTAAAAATGATTATGGTTATCTGAATGCATCTACTTAATCATGAAGTTACTAAAAGAGGACTGCAAATTTCAGCAACACAGTATTTTCCACATTATAATTTTTCCTGAGGTTCAAACACTGTATTTTCTTACTCAAAGATCTCCTCAAAATAAAATATGAGTTATAATCCTGATGATGAACCAAGAGCTCTATTGGGGTTTATTGCTCTAAAATTCATTTGATACATCTTTGCTCCTCTGAGAATTAGATAATACAACATTATAAAAATAAATTTAAAAAAGAATAAATGAAATTTACTTTCAGGTTATTCTTTGCACAAAGATGTTTCTGTAACTACAATCAATATCTTAAAATTTCAAGTTATTCAAGTATCTCTTTAAACATATGGCTTCATATATTAGGAAAAATTGAAGCAGACATGTGAAATCTTTTTATCTTCATCTGTAACTCCAAGGCAGTCATTTACTTGGCTTTTTTTTTTTTTTTTTTTTTTTTTTTTTTTTTTGACAGGATTTCTTTATGTAACTCTGGCTGTCCTGGAACTAACTGACTATATAGACCAGGCCTACCTCAAACACAGAGATCCACCTGCCTCTGACGTTCTCCCCAGGGCTGGGATCTAAAGGCATGCGCCACCACACCTAGCTTACCTGCCTTTATTAAAGCCTTCTTAACTACTGTTTCTCACAAACTAGAGTTCCAACCTGCATTACTACAACTTGCATTACAAGTCTGAGATTTCTGAGTAGTTAACTGGTCATTTTTCCTGAATTATTCCTTCCCTACATCCCTTTCTCCCTTTCTCCTTCCTCTCATTCCCTCTTTGTTGAAAACTATTAAAAGCTCACAAATATGAGGGATATCCACAGGCTCTCTCTTTTTTTTTTTTTTTTTTTTAAGATAGGGTTTCTACTGTAGCTTTGGAGCCTGTCCTGGAACTCGCTCTGTAGCCCTGGCTGGCCTTGAACTCACAGAGATCCACCTGCCTCTGCCTCTGCCTCCCGAGTGCTGGGACTAAAGGCGTGCGCCACCACCTCCTGGCCACAGGCTCATTTTTATAAAAAAAATTAAAGGCCTGGCAATCTTTTTTCACTTCACAAGCTAAGTGCATGGTCCAATGCCTTTCTAGAAATGGGTTTCTTAACGTATTCCCAATGAAAAAGAAGTTCAGTTGCTACAATATAAACATACCATCAGAGCAGATCCAAAGATATGCCAATCAAACATAAGCAAGTATAATTCTCAGAGTTCTAAATTATACTCATGTTGAATTGAATCATTTCAGCAATTCCCAAGATTTCACTATTTCCATTCAGTTTAGAGTTGTCATAAAATCCAGGTTCCTGTTGGGTATATGCAGCAAACAGCTGCATTTTTTCTTTTCAAATTCCACTAACACTCATGTTTATTATTTCAATTATTGTGCTTTCAATACAATGACAGAGCTGGACATCAGGATCCATGCTTCCAGTGTCCCTGGATCCATTTTTGTAAGACAGATCTTTACAGATTTGAGACCATCCGCTTGGTTTCTCCTTTATTTGTTGAAGACCTACAAAATAAGGGAGGAGAAAGGACAGTTAAGGCAAGATATTCTGAAATGAATATGGTCTCGTTTGAAACATTAAAAAAGGAAACAAAAAATGAAAAAGAGGTACCACTTACGTGTGATGATTGGATCAATGTCTCTGGTCTGAGTGGCAACATCAGAGGCACACACTTGGCCTATTTGAATTAGCAAAGACATAATGTCCTCATACAGTGGAGGAAATGCTCGACAAAAGGAGACCAAACTTGGAAGAGTTGGCATGAAGAAAGCATACCGCTTAGCCTGTGTCAGGACTGTCGGGAAGAGATGGAACAGAATGACTTGTTTTCCCTTCAGAACAAATTCATACTGTGTTTTGTGCTGGGAAAACTATGCTTTAGAGGATGCTGCTCACTCGATGTTAACAGCCCCCACTCTACTAATGAGTCACCATCAAGATCCACATTTACCACATCCCAGCACTGCGGTAAGTACAGCGCTTTCAGTACTTCACTTAGTTCTCCCAAATGTATCACAACAGCTGTGTGTGCAGCTGAGAGGAACTTTAAGCAAACTCTAGAGAAGGCATAAAAGCTGTTGAAAGCCCAGCATAGTGGCACTCTTTTCAAAGATCCCAGGCCTTGAGAGACAGAGGCAAGCAGGTGTCTGAGTCTGAAAAGTTCTTGCCTAGTACATGCAAAGGCTCTGTGCTTAATTTCCAGTCCTGAGGGGAAAATAATGCTGTTCCAAGTCATGCAACAGTTAGTGGTAAATCTTGGACTAAATGCACTATGAACTCTTGTTTGTTTGTTTGTTTGTTTGTTTTTTTCGAGACAGGGTTTTTCTGTGTAGCTTTGCACCTTTCCTGGAACTCGCTCTGGAGACCAGGCTGGCCTCGAACTCACAGAGATCCGCCTGCCTTTGCCTCTGCTGGGATTAAAGGCGTGCGCCACCACCACCTGACGTGCACTATGAACTCTTAACCACTATAAATTATTATAACAGAAGGTGAAAATAATAGAAAGAAAATGAACAAACTATTGTGAAACACTGTGAACACTGAGAAAGAGTATAACCTTTTAAAGGACTGAATGTATTCATATTTTTTAAGTAATTTGTTTTTATACCATTTTATTCTACAAACCAGAAGGTGGTTAAAATACAGGAGATGGCCAGGCAGTGTTGGCACATGCCTTTAATCCCAGCACTTGGGAGGCAGATGCAGGTGGATCTCTGTGATTTCGAGGTCAGCCTCATCTACAAAGCAAATTCCAGGACAGCCAGAACTGTTACACAGAGAAACCCTGTCTTGAAAAAACAAAAAATAAATAAAATAAAAAATATATGCATACACACACACACATATATATATGATACGTTGTAGAATTTAAAGAACTAGCTAATGAATTTATGACTGTTTTGTTTTGAGACAGAGTTTCTCTATGTAGCCCTAGCTGTCCTGGAACTCGCTGTATAGACCTCTGCTTCCTGAGTGCTGAGATTAAAGGAGTAAGCCACTATCGCCTGGCTATTTATGACATTTTCAAATATTTTTCTTCTGGAATCGAGCACACTTAGTAATTTCTAATTTGTGTTCTAATTCTACAGATTTTATTTTCATTTATTAAAAATGTATTATAACATATATATAGAGAGAGACACACACACACAAAAAAAAAAAAACCACAAAAGTGCCTACCTATACTTCCACACTAAAAATTATATTTGTAAGTATGACATTTTTTAAAAAAATAGTAATTCAGGTTGGGGATTTAGCTCAGTGGTAGAGCACTTGCCTAGCAAGCATAAGGCCCTGGGTTCGATTCTCAGCTCAAAAAAAAAAAAAAAAAAAAGAATAGTAATTCAAAGGATGGCACAAGTAAAAGTAACAGCAACATATACTGTGTTATACTGACTCATAAAAACACCAAAAAAATGAGCATAGGAGCACACGCCTTTAATTCCAACACTTGGGAGGCAGAGGCAGGTGGATCTCTGTTGAGTTTGAGGCCAGCCTGATCTACAGAGTGAGTTCCAGGACAGAGAGAGCTGTCTGGAACATACATAGTGAGTCCCCTGTCTTGAAAAAACAAACAACACACACACACACACACACTCATACACACACTCACACATACAAACACAGGCTGCCAAGTCTTAAAGTTCAGAAAATACACATAGTAGTAAGCATTATTAGATGCTTCTGTTGAGGTTGATTGGCTACACACCTGTTAGCAAAGTTCCCATGACATTGACAGCTAAGCGAGCCACACTAAGTGACTTAGGTAATGCATACTGGATACACAAATGAGAAAGCAGCTGTATAGCAAATATCTGGAATACAAAATCCAAATGTTACATATTTCTTTAGAAAAGTTTAAGTGCTAAGAATTATAAAATGTTTTCTCTAATAGCCAACTGAAAAGTAATCAAGTTTTTCTTCAAGTTCTAAAATGGTCACTACCTGTTTTTCAAGTTCAGGCTGGGCAATAAGCTCTGGTATGAAATCCAGACAGATGTGCATAGATGGGATCCCTGCAACCGTCAGAGACAGAAGTTCACATGGATAGCCCTGTCTCGGGAAGAAGGGAGAAGTCAAATACAACAGCACACGTGAAGCTTCACTTCCTCTGCAGAGCAATGCTCTGAATAGCAAGTGTCTGCGACTGTCTCTGGAAATGCACTTTCCTGATACATTAGAACAGAGAACAGAGATAAAGTATTTGAATATCTTATCAGTATTGTATTTGGAATTTGTAGTTTTCTATATATTGCAAAGGACCATGATCCTTTCTCGTGTTCAAATGACCTATTAATTTAACAGATAAAGCCCTCAAGAAAAACATGAAATTCAAACACTCCACATTACTCTCTGAGCACGCACCTGAAAGTGGACGAGTTTAGCAATGTTGGGGTCTGCAATGTACATTTGGTGCAGCAGGCAGCAGATAAGGCACTGGACTTCCCGGAGGTTACAGAGCAGATTCTCTTCTCCTTCCTCCACTCCCTTGTTTGGAGTGCTGGTGGTAATGACACTGTGAGCGTTCCTGAGGGAGATGTCTGGACTGGCACCTTTTGCCTTTTCCTCTTCAGTAGGCAAACAAATCTCTAAGAGAATCTGGACTGCTGCACTATCCTACAAGATGAAAAGTGATGTAAGAAGTCTGAGAAGTTGCGGGGAGGGGATGGGAGGAGAGGAGGGGAAATCACAGTTGGGATGTAAAATTAAAAAAATAAAATAGTAAAGAAAGCCATTGCCCTAGAACAAACCAATGTATAAACAACAATAAAAGAGACTAGAAGACTAGAGAGATGGCTCAGTGATTAAGAGCACCAACTACACTTCCAGAGGACCTGGGTTCAATTCCTAGCACTCACACGGCAGCTCACCACTGTCTGTAAGTAGCTCCAGTCCCAGCAGAACTAACCCTCTTCTGACATGGTACAGAGACATAAATGCAGGCAAGCACCCATACACATAAAATAAAATAAGCATGTAAACAAGCACCTGGCACACTTCTGAAGGCTCATAGAGCACAAGGCAGAAGCAAAGACTTGAGCTCATGAACCTCTATGGGGCAGGTAATCTGAACCAATGGCCTCCAGAGCAGACCCGAACCTAACCCCCTTCCTTCCTCCTGCTCTCCACTTTCCTCAGGATCCTACCAGCTGTCTCCTCCATTTTCTCCAAGTCACTTCACAGAGCAGTACTTGGAAAGTGACCTGTGTGAGGGTCCTGACATTTTATAATACCATGCATTCAACTTACTTTTCTGTTTATAGTCTGTCTCCAACATCTGGTTTCCTTTTTTACCATCTTATCTTTAAAAACAAGTAACCAAAGTTTGTATCTCCTTTACTACTATGTCCCTGGTCCTAGAATAGTATTTGACACATAGGTGTCCAATAAATACGTATTGATCAAGTGAAGATAGAACTTAAGACTGGCTAAAAGCTTAAATTTGTTAAACATAAATTTTATTAAAATATGTATTAAGTTTTCATAATGAAAGTCCACCTGATACTCAGAATCAAAGATGGTATTGTTTTAGATTCTAAAATAAAAGGAACACACAATGTCAACAATGTACATATAGGGCACAATGTGTGATCTACTTATTTCTAATAAATACTTATTTAGTTAAAAACAAACATTGCCGGGCAGCGGCACACCTTTATTCCCAGCACTCAGGGAGGCAAAGGCAGGTGGATCTCAGTGAGTTCCAGGACAGCCAAAGATGTTATAGAGAGAAACCCTGTTTCAAAACCCAGCCCCCCCCCCCAAAAACAACCAAACAACCACACACACACACACACACACACACACACACACATGGACAGTGGTAAGAATAAACCTCCTTGTGTCATTTCAGCCTGGTCTAGATAGTGAGACCCTGTCTCAGAAAAAAAAAAAAAAAACAAATATGCCATTTGACAAAATTTAACCTTAGCAAATTTTACCTGAGCAGCCAATAATGCATTTTTCAGCTCTTCTCTGGTAACTTCTGGGGCATCAGTCTGTCCAAGCAAACCTATTGTATTGTTCTGGGAAGGCCTATCTTGCTCTGCTGTCTCCTTCAGATGGGCACTAAGGTAAGCTTTAGATGCAAGGAGATATCCATTCAGCATGTGTAGAGTAATATCCATCAGTGGGGGGCACCTAAACAAAGAAGAAAATTTATCAGGAAGACTGTCAATTTAAAACTTAGTTAGAACTTAACCAATTCAATTTAAAACATTTGAAAAATCCAGCTTAACAACTTTCCCCAATGAAATACTCCTTCTTAAAGGTCTAAGCTGGGTGTGCTGGTACTTGTCTATAATCACAGAACTGGGGAAGCTGAGCCAGGAGGATGATGAATACAAGCCAGCCAGGACCACAGAGCAGGACCACACACCCTCTAAAACAATAAATAGGGGCTGGAGAGATGGCTCAGTGGTTAAGAGCACTGGCTGCTCTTCCAGAGGACCCAGGTTCAATTCCCAGCACCCACATGGCAGCTCACAACTGTCTGTTACTTCAGTTCTAGGAGATCTGACACCTTCACAACAATGCACATAAAATAAAGTTAAATAAAATTATTTTAAAAAAATAAAATAAAACAATAAATTGTATATCTTATTTTCTGTATTTCAAGATTCATAAACACCATTCTTCATCTTATCAGTCAAAATAAAATGCAATTAAGTAGTAGAGAAAGATATTAGCTTTTTGTAGAAAATGATAAAGCAGTAAATCTCTTAGATTCAAGCCTTCACAAAGATATATTCTATTATTGACTAAGATAGTCAATTGACTAAAACAAATTATTTCTTCTTTCTACTCCTAAGCAAGACACTTCTATATTCTTTTTTTTTTTTTTTTGGTTTTTTTGAGACAGGGTTTCTCTGTGCAGCTTTGTGCCTTTCCTGGAACTTGCTTTATAGACCTGGCTGGCCTCGAACTCACAAAGATCTGCCTGGCACTGCCTCCCAGATGCTGGGACTAAAGGCGTGCACCACCACCACCTGGCAACACTTCTGTATTCTAAAAGTGAATGAGCATCCATTTAATCTGGACAAATTATTTACTGAGCTTCAGTTTTTTCATCTAAAAAATGGGTACACATCAGCCCGGCTGGTGGAGCAGGCCTGAGGCAAGAAAATCACAAATTCAAGACCACCTTGTGCAATTTGGCAAAAGTCTACCTGAAAATAAAGACTATGAAAGGGACTGGGAACACAGCAGCGCAGCAAAGCACTTGCCAAGCATGCACAAGGCCCTGGGTTTAATACCCAGCACTAACACAAACACACACAGTGGAAACACTAGGAATGGCCCTCCACCTATGAATGCATAAATAAACTGTTGCAGTTTTTCCAAAAATAAAAGACAAAAATGACTTGAAATATTTTTTAAAATCTTAAATGTCAAATTAGACATTTGAATCAGAGCTTCTGGGAAGTAATTCTGCTAATCCATATGTGAAACTACCCACTAGTCAAGAGAGATAAGGTAGGACTACGAACACCAGCACGGGAACACGCAGAGTTTTGAGGAATGGGATCATCCCTGGAGTACCACTGAATGTTTTTCCTCTGGTTGTTGACTAACTGACTTTGGACTCATGATCCTCCTGTCTTGGCCTCCAATACACATTTTCATTTTTTATCCTGTGTGTGTGTACGTGTGTGTGTGTGTGTGTGTGTGTGTGTGTGTGTGTGTGTGTGTACGTGGTGCTTGTGGCTGAACACGCTGAGCAAGTGCTCTGGTACTGAGTTACAGCCCCAGCCACTTGCATCTCTTTAAGAACCATGCACAACAAGAACTATAAATTTATAGAGCACAATGAAGAATGAGGCTATATGGACATAACAAGTTTCCTCTGGAGATGGAACTGGAAGTGGTCAAAGGAAGCCAACGAGGAATCTGGCTTTGCCAGCGTCAGAATGACAGCTGGAAGAGTGAGACTTCCACTGTATACCTTTTCTTCTTGTCAATCTTCTCTGTATGTTACAGAGTATTTGCATATTAGTACATATGAAAAGTTTCAGAAATGAACAAAGAAGAATAGACATTGGGAAAGTAAAAAACCCCATCACTCAGCCCCCAAAGTTACTTACACTAGGCTAGCTTCTTTGAGACCTAAGTCCACCTCCTTTCCTACCACCACGACTAGGCAAATCCTCATTTTCACTTATGGATGCTGTATGTCTTTTTTTTTTTTTTTAAGATTTATTTATTTATTATGTTTGCAGCATGTATGACTGCAGGCCAGAAAAGGGCACCAGATCTCGTTACAGATGGTTGTGAGCCACCATGTGGTTGCTGGGAATTGAATTCAGGTCCTCTGGAAAATCAGTCAGTGCTCTTAACCTCTGAGCCACCTCTCCACCCCCCCACTTTTTTTTTCCTTCCGGAGCTGAGGACCGAACCC